CACCAAGTGAGTGCACATGTATAAATTAAGCTATTCCCATTAGTTGCCGGTCAGTCTACCTACCGTTCAGCTAAAAGAGCTTGCTTTGATGTTGATCTTGATCGGTCCATGGAGGACAAGCCGAGTGTGCCCCGTAAGACAGTCGCAATCAAACTGTTTTGTCCAATTTCGGAGTTGATGGAGACCGGTAATTTGAGGCCTAATTTTTTAGCATACGCTTTGCAGACCTCGCTTTCGAATCCCGTGATGACGAGGAATTCGTGTGATTGTAACTCGAAGGCCTCAAATGCCGATTCAATGAACCCATGGCAATCCGCAACGACTATACATTTATCCCTCATCACGGTAATGGGAATTATGAACCACTAGGTAAGCAAACAAATAAAATTCCATTACATCCAGATGCTTAAGTGCTGTTCCAGAAGGTTAATTGCTTGCCCATTTTCCGTTTCAGAATCCTTGTCCCGTGAAGTGGATCTTAAGAACATGAAAAATGGAGCGACTACCAATTAAGCTTGTATCAGTGATGCCAATGAATAAAATGCAATTCGCCAATGGTGTTTTCGTAAATTCATGGCGGGCGCATCATCAACGCGTGGAGTTATGAGTATGGAGCGCCGTCGTTGGCGATTGTATTACGTTGCCGTGCATAGGTGAGGCCCCATTATCTGCGTCGCGAATAGCAGTTACGCTAAGTAGCCGAGGTGAACGACAGCTCATTGTTTCGGGTAATGGAGGGAGTGGTTGAGGGGGTACAATCAAGAGTAGGATTTGGGAGCGCGCTATCAAAATGGGTGGTGATTGCATTTTGACAGGCGATGACCACCGTTGATCGTTGGGTTAGTCTATTATGTGTTGTCGGGGCATTATGGTTAGCTACGAGCATGTGTGCGGGCCTGGCAGTTACTATAGGTAGTCACGTAGGTTACGTCAAATACAGTTGCGATGTTTACTGAAGGTAGCAAACATAAACGGCATCGAGTAAGTATGAGTATGACGATGAATAGCCAAGTTAGGTGACTTCGAGTACAGTTGTGAGTATAACAGGCTGTCAGATTATGCTATCACTCATAGTTGAGTCCCTGTTTATACTGGTCGGCATATATATTGGAGTGATGTTTACAGTAGGTAGCGAAGATAAGCGGCATCGCGTATAGTATGAAAGACCCTCAGCTTTATACTAAGCGTTGCACATAGACTCAGTTGCTGCAATTACGATAAGCAGCCAGGGTAGGCGATATCAAGTGCGGTTACGAGTATGACGGGCAGCCGTTGGTCGTTAAGACGTCACGCATAGCCCAGGCCTACTAAACAGAGTCGCATATAGGCACTGGCCTACCAGTTTCAATAAGTAGTCAAGGTAGACGATATCGCGTACAGTTTTGAGTATTTGGTTAATCGGTCGCCATTAGATTAGGTATGTATGTACAAGGACACTGACTCAACAGGTACGATCAATAGCCAAGTTAGATGACCCCGAGTCCAGTTGTGTGTATAACAGGCTGTCAGATGTGGCTATCATGCATAGCTGAGGCCTTATTTTTACCGGTCGGCATATAAATTGTACTGATGTTTACTGTAGCTAGCGAAGACAAGCGGGATCGCGTATAGTTAACGGTATACAAGACCGTCATTGACCATCGGATTATGCAACTCTGCATAGGTCCAGTCTCATTATCAACGTTGCACATAAACGCGAGCCTAGCAGTTACGACAAGTATTCGAGATGAGTGAAAACTATTAGAGATACGAGTACAAGGGGCCGTCGTTGTTCATTGGATTGGGCTGCCGCGCATATATGGGGAACCCCAATTATCGTCGCACATAGACACGGATTCAGCAGCTACAATAGGTAGTCGAGGAGGCTGCCGTCATCGTGGTGACCGCTTCATGATTGGTGGTCACCATCTATAGAACGTCACGGTTATGATAGGAAAGTCGCTCACAGCATTCTGGCAGCAATGTATTATCTACAAGCTGGCTATGCATATCTGGTAAAGAGGATCACCCACAGGTGTCCCTCGCATTGCCACTGCAAGGTTGTGCTGTTATCTAACTTTAATGCACTTATGGAACACGAGATCTATGGGGAAAATGCCTAGTGAGCAGGTTCACAGAACAAAAATATTCCATTGGTTAAATCTGACGTGTCTAAAGCAAACAAACGACTGCGACTGATCCCATAGGGTGGCATTTATATTAAATACTCTTAAAATGTTACTTTTATTCTTCAGGAACACCGCGGAACGCCAAAATATGCTAAAGTGCGATTTCCTGTTTTATGTCGCGTAAACCGGCAAAAAATGCAGATCGGCGATGGTCAATGACCTTGACATTTCGCTCACTTAAACAAGATGCTACGTGAAACATGTCACAGGAAGGTGCAAATTGATTAGACTAACTTCACATAAAAATGGCAAATTCGAAAACCCTATAGTTTCGGCGAACTCAATTTCGGCGTGTCAGTAGCCTGCGGCCGTATGCATTGTGGGGTCTCAGCGATGTGAAATTTTCACACAAAACATTTCAGTTACATGCATGGTTGCTTCACTGAACAATAAAATTCGGCGAGCTGCAAAATTATGAGGGTACATTAGGACGGTTCTTACATCCAGCATATAAGAAACAAAGTGCAACATTTTGACGTAGAATATTTTACTCCACTTGTAAATGTTTCGCATCTCGGTGCATTATGCTGGCGCCGCTTTGTGTTGTTGTGTGTTATCACTCACGAGAATATTCAAAACTAAAATTCGGCTGCCGGACTTACTTATGGCCGGTTTCACATAGTTTTGAGCTGCACAACTATGATAATGCTGCTTAAGCTGTGACTGGCTCCGCGGACTTAGTATGATTTTGGGCTACCAAGCTGAGGGGCCTGTAGCAGAGTAGGACCTTATCAGCGTGCTCGGATAAATTAACAAGCGAAGTAACCAATACAAAATCACAAAGTCACAATACGAAAAGAATGAGTAGTCAACTGGGGCTCACGAATGTGCAGATCCAATAGTCCACTACACCGATCCAACTGCGTAACTGGCTGTGGAAGGAAATATGCACATGTCGAAATTTCTCGCAGGTGGTTCCGCGTGAGTGATATATTCTGCGGTAGGAAAATTATTCGCGGCTAAAAAATGTCACAAGGATTTATTGTGACGTGCAACAGTAGACACAAACACTGAGATTTAGTCTCACTGGTTCAGCAGTCAACAAACGGTTCAACGGAGCGTAAATACACCCGTTCAGAAAGAAGTCAGCAAGTCGCACTGGAAAAATGAGTATTCGTAAAATTAAAACAAACGTCACGATACAATATTTACGATACTTACAAAGTGTCGTTCAAGTTCAGGAAGAATGGTGAGTGTGACAACGGATTACAGACACTACAGGCCCCTACATGAACGGATGTCTGTTCTATTCGGTCGTCAACGACTTCCGAGTATCCCATAAACGCGATAATAGTCGCTTCTAGTTCGTTGTATTCGCTCATGCTCGGCAGAGTATCCTTTCACAGTAACGGTTGCTTCCCAGCTGGGCTTTCGGTTTAAACCTTCCAAGCTGTCGTTCACGTCAAACACAACCACCAAAGTTACAAAACGTGTATTAACGAAGTTGAGGACACTTGTGCAGCGCGCCACACATATAAGAAAAGCGTGTAACAGAACCGAAACTCTCCTGATGATTTTAAATGCGCGCCTAAGATATTTCTATCTATTTCTTTCTTTCCCAGGTAGATTCCCATTCCCTGGACCTCGATATGAAAAAGGAACGCGTGGCCTCCATCAATGACAACTCTTCTTCTGTTGACTTGTTTGGTCAGGCTGACACTTGTCGGTTCGGACTTGTACACAATTCCGTTTCGCTTGTCGCTCGTTCGTGGGGACGCCGCCCCTTCTGTTGTTTTGGAATATATGTTTGTGTTCCGTCAGTGCTGTTCTTAGTTGTGTGTTTGGATCGCGTGCTGGTTGACAGAACTTCTCCCGTTTCCGTGCACCCCTCGTCGTTTGTGTTCGCTATCACCCGCCCATTTACGTCCCGTTTCAGCTCCACGCGGTTTCTCGTCGACTGTGCGATTTTGGTTACAACCTGGAACTTCTAAAGCCCTCCAAATGGGACATTGCCAACGGGCATCCCATCAAAGTTGCGTCTTGATTGGCTGTTGGTTCCAGACTTTCGACCATTCAGATATCGACTTGATGCCGGACCGGCAAGTATCCCGAACTTTTGGTCAATTTTTTGCGGGACTGGAGTCTCAGCCGTAGCATCGCCTAAACTGCGAGCGGTAAAGCGGGAATTCCGCCTAATACTCTTATAAACTCAGGCATGCTCTTTTACTATGGCGTACCAACCCTCAGATGTTGTTGAAGCTGGGTATATGAATGCGCACTCAGGTAGACTTGGCGCTGCTGAGGTTCAAATGGTTTGTCTTCTTGGGCTGAATCGAGACGCATGGACGGCGATTAACGGCTGCTGCAATTGTATGCTGACCACAGGGTATTTGTACGCCCACTGAATTCCGAATTAACCGAAACCATTACATGCCAACCAACCTGAGACACAGACAGACCACATTGTCATTGGCCGTGGGATCAATTACAGACTGCCACCTGTACTTCAACACCTACGTGGATTCTGATCATGCGCTTGACTGTTGCTGCTCCTCTTTGCGCTTTTGAAGGATGCGCCTGGTAATTGAGATGTTTTAGGGCCATAATGTGAAGGAAACTTACTCAAACCCTTCTTTCAGACAACTTACCTGCTGTTGACCCGCGCTGGAAAGTACCGTCTCCAATCTTGCAAGACATTTCACCTTGTTTGTAGGACGGCGCGATCCGCTAGATCTGGGTACTGCACCTTGGACAGTATCAACAATTTCCTCGATGTTTGGACTGTATTGCTATTCGGCTACCGGACCTGGCCACTTCGGGTAGCATAGATGGGACACCTTCAAGTCTTTTAGCACCGTTGTCTCAGGGCTATCTGGAATCCGCTGAAACCAGCAAGTTCGTATTTAAGGGATGTACAGTCGGGAAGCGTAAGTTACTTCATTCGAGAATCGTATCACTTAGATAGGTTGGCTGGGTTATGTGTTGCACATGCTGGGTTACCGTCTGCCGTGCCTGATTTGTAATGGGGGTCATGGTTGTATTGTTAATTGTGTAGGTCATGGTTGTACGAGGGCTGGGATACTGCCAGGGCGCCCACACCTAGACAGGAGGACAATTAGGGTCCTCAACCAAAGCCGTTGGCTCAAAAGCCTAACCGCAAGGCAGCGGTGTTTGGCGGGGAAATGCAAATGCATTTCCTACGGAACAAGTCGCCATACATGTTCCAACCCCCAACCTGGAGGGCCAGGAGACTGTTCGTCAGACCTCTAACCATTGACCAACCTGGTATGAGGGACTCTGTGAGTGTCGCGGGACACTCTCCAGTATAGCTCAATGGATCGCTGAGGTGCGCAAACCGTTACACCACGGTAAGGTCCAGTCTCTTCGTGACGGATTGTAATGGGGGGAACCGAGATGGTAGTAAAAAATGAAGGATGTCACGAAAACTGTGAGTGGTGTTCGTGCTGTTCATCCTGCTGGGTGAAACCTTCGTGACCCTTTCTGTGGTTGGCTGGAGGTACTGAACAAAATGACGGCTAGCCGATGTCGTTAACGTTCATCCTGCCAGTTGGTGTCCAAATTGTTTGACTGAGTGTTGGAGGTGTAGATAGCTCGGATATTTCGGGTAGACTGAGTCCTAAGCCAGTTCTCCTTGTACAACAATAAAGTAGCCATGTTCTCTGATAGTTCTGTCAGTGGGAATGTCCTAAGCTGTCCTTCATGTGCCAGTGCCAGCCGGATTAGACGTTACGGGATGTGGCCGATTTTGGTGATAGTCGTCCCTTAGTTATCGTCGGGCTAATCCAACTGCTGGAATGGTTTTTACTGGTCCGCCCGCGTACCGCCTTGTGTACAAACAAACGGCTGTGGTAATGGGATACTGATGTTTTGAACGTCGTTTTTATGGATGACGGCGGTGATACGACGCATTTTCCGCTATCTATCTCTATGCCGTTAGGATGTTTAGGTATCACCGCTGGAAGCTTATCCGTGGACCTTTCAACGTCGAGTCGTTGCTGAACTGTTCAACATGCGCAACAAAAGGCAACTTTTAGGGTTTATACGGTGGACAGCAAATATACCTCAGTGCAGTATGTCCAACTATGTTGATAACCTAAGTGAAGACCTTTTCATGACCTGAAATCATTTCTGGAGTACATACTCATTACAAACCGATGTTTCCTTACCCCACACTAGCTGATAACAGGCATAGCCTGTAACTTCATTAATCTTTCCACGAAAAAGAATCACGCCGTCTTCGTGTAGCAGCTACTTGGCGTCCATTTACGTCTTGGCTTCCAAGAGGCTCTGTGTCACATCGTCGTACGGCCTTCCAGATAGATGGATAATTCAATGCCATACTCGCGTCAAGAGGATGACAATGACAGGGATGTCTCTCAAGGTAAGTATGTGTTTCTCTAGTGGCTCACACTGTAGGTTGTGGAGCTTCACTGGCCTGTGATCCCCGACGTCGATTGCATCGCTATATGATGTTGTTCTTTATTTGTTTCCTGTCATTTGGGAGCTACTTTTGTTATGATAACCCGGCCGCTTTGCAGGATGTGATGATTCGTGATCTCAGCCTCACTGAAACAGATTTCATGAACCTTTATGCCTGGTACTCATGGCCTAACGTGATACTCAGCCTCGTTGGGGGATTCCTCATCGACCGTGTCTTTGGATGTCCCCTCGGTGCTATCATTTTTTCCTTGTGTATCTTCCTGGGACAGATTATTTTTGGAGTTGGTGCCCTGGTCAGTAATCTACCGCTGATGTACTTCGCTCGGTTCGTTTTCGGTATCGGAGGTGAATCACTCTGCGTAGCACAGAATACTTATATTGGTGAATGGTTTCCCGCCAGTGAACTTAATTTTGTCTTCGGCTTGCAGCTGAGCATGGCTCGCTTAGGGTCAACGGTGAACATGAATACCATGCAGCTGTTGTACAAAAGCATTGGCCCCTACTTCGGAATCACGGGTCATCTGCGTTTGGGAACAGCGTTGCTTATTGCGTCGGTCACTTGCATCTTCTCGGCTTGCTGTGCGACAATTTTGGCCTTTTTCACAAGAAGGTAGGTTTTCTATATCTTTTTGAAAACATCTTTTTATCAATTTATTGAGGATGATTTCCATTTTGTTACTTGTAAGCTTGAAAACACGTAGTTGAATTGAATGACTGCTATTTCACACCTTTTCGGCTGATGGTTGTCACTTGCGAGGTCCGATAGTCACCTCTGCGCGGTTCCTTTGGTAACTTCTGTGAAAGAATCTTTAGGACTTGAGGCCTATCTCTCCTCGTTTATCGCGCCTGCTTATGCGCCGACGGACTTTAACTCTGAATTTGCCCAGGAAAGTTTCTGTGATGCCCCAGGTGTTTTTTAAGAGCTAAAAGCCCAGACTTCATGGTTGTTGGTGACTTGAACGCTCAGGTAAGTGGGCTAAATGCTACAGAGGCCATTTGGGTGGTCGTCTTGGGTCGGGAACGAGACAATGGACAGCGAACATTGCCTACTGCAGATGTGTGATGACCACAGACTGTTCTTTTGCAGTGCTAATTTTGGGAGCGAGAGAAACCACTTGAAAACGTGGTGCCTACCGACAAACCAGCCCCGAATCCAAGTAGACCGGTGCCGGGGTCGATCAGTACCTGCCACTGCTTCTAGAATACCTGCATGGACTCCAACAATGCTCTTGTCCCCTAGTGCTTTCCGATGCGCTCTCAAGCCTACCCAAAACGTACACTTTGCCTCTGTGAAGCTGGTGGACCCGAAACTGAAACAAATCTACCAGAGCCAGCTCCAACGCCTGCTAACTGTCCGGTGTCAGATAGTGACCATCACCGGTAACACGTCTAATGTGCTACTCAATTCCGAAGAGCTCGAAATAGCCAGGTGGTTAAGCTTCGGTTAAATTCCGTTCAGTTGTATTTGTCACGAAGAGACTAGGTCTTACCATACTGTGACAGTTTGTGTGCTTCCGTGACCCATTGAGCCTTACTAAGCGAAGTCCGTGCGACACTCGCAGTCTTATGCCATGGTGATCAGTGACTAGAGTTCTGACGAGCACAGTCTCCTGACCCTCCATTTTTGGGATTGGAACATGTATAGCAACTTGTTCCATAAAAACTGAAATGCACTTGCACTTTCCTCCAAACACAGCTGCCTTGCGGTCAGGCTTCCAAGCCTAAGGCCATTATCGAGGACGCTAATCGTTCTCCCATCTAGAAGTCGGCGCACTTGCAGCATTACAGACCACATACAACCATGAGTTACACAAATACAAATAATCTCATGCCACATCGGCCTTCGCATGGTGCCATCAGTCAGGTCACATGCACTGAATTTTCCAGCAACATTTGTGCGTCATCTGACGCTGACATCCTCAGGCAGCTCGAAATCAATCTTCAAGAATCAATGCCCAGTTTCTCTGGTTGCTTTTAATGTTCACACTCTGAAGTAAGCAGGACAACAAGCTGCTGTTTCTCTCACAATGGACTCGCTTGACATTGATAGGCGATGTGTATTGGAAACAAGAATAAAGACGCAAGCACAATGGTTGTTCTACCGGCCCCATCACTCTCTGCTCGCTTCCGTCGGCGTACCTCTGTCGATCCAGAGGCCGCTGTGGCAGGATGTGTAGGGGTTGGTATCATTTTAAGTCACCGGACGGAAGGATCCTTGCTTGATCTGACGTCCGTTAACACGCGCCTCTGCGTTTCCCTCGGCAGCCTCCGTGAAAAACAGGGATTTGATCACTGCCCGTTTGTCGTGTATGCTTACGCCCAAACGAATATTAATCCTTACACCATCAGAGACAAGTTTTATGACGCCTTTAATACTGTGCTTCGGCGAGTCAGGAGTTAGATATCGTTTTGCTTGCTGGCGATCTTAATGCACACGTGGATACGCTTAGTGCATCCAAGAGTCACGTAGGTGAACTCGGTACGTACGGATACTGGTGAACAACTACTTCAGCTATATATTAACTGGAGATTGTTTATATGCAGTGATAACTTCAGTACTAACCGAAGTCTTCTGGCCGCGTGGTATCCTCCAACGACATGTCAGCTACGAACCCAAATCGATCGCACTGCCATCAGTAGTTGGCAACAATCGGTTGCTGTTCCTTTTGCATCATATTTGTGGATTCTGACTACGCGTCGGGAGTCGCTTTCTTGGTTTTCCTGGGCCAGATAAGGTGCAGAAGAATCGGTGAACAACTGAGAGACTGGCAGATTTGGAAGTGGGATGGTTTTATCAGAATCACCCTCTGGAGTCTATTCCAACTTCTTCACCACAAGACGTGGATTCATGCTGGAATGAGATCGCCGCATCCTTGCACAGTTCTGGGAGTTTTGCCTGTGGCACGGCAACACCACATTCGCTCAAACACTGGATATCAGATAGAGCACTGACATTGCTTGAATGTCGGAGAGGTGTCTCCACCGGTCCCGAGCATAATCGGGACTGACGAATTATTAGACGTCAACCGAGGCGTGCGCGCAGACCGTTAAGGCTAGTGGACAAGGAAGGGTAGGGAAATGAAAGAAGCCCAAAAAGGCGGGAATGCTCAAGGATTATTTCAGTTGATCTATGCAGCCGTCCCCCGAAATACGCATGTGAGCGAAACCGTCGAGAATCAAATTGGTGTGACTATCTTCAATGAAGAAGAGCATCTCAACCGGTGGGCCGAATACTTCGAACAGCAGTTATCGTGACCACTCGATGCGACTCATTTAGTTCCTACAGGTGAAGCAGAACCATGGAAGGTGTAACTGCAACCTTCTACGGCCTCGGAGGTTTATGAATGCATTTTCCTCCCAAGCGCCTCCAAGCTCCTGACCTCCTAGCCACATTGTCCAAAGATGGAATGAAGTCCTCAGTCAGCGCTTGTCTGATATGTTTGCCTGCATTTGGGAAACGGAAACTTTCCCAGGCAACTGGGCGGACTTGGTGATAGTGCCTCATTTCGAAAAAGGGGTCCGTAGTGAGTGCGGTAATCACAGGGGAATCGGGTCGACCCAGGTTGTAATGAGGCACTTGGTGCCACTTCTTCGTCGCCTCATGGTGGTTCATGAAACACTGACTCGTGAGCAGCAAGTGGGATTCCGGCCTGGTATGGGTCGTGTTGTCCGACTCGTCATAGTCTACCAGGTGATTAGACAACCTACGTGTAAACGACTCACAGTTTTAGTATCCCTCGATTTCCAAAGCGCATTAGGTTTCGTTGCCCACCAAGGGATGTCCCGGAAGTGTGTGAACCTAATAATTTCCTTGTATTTTCAGTCTCCTGGAAGTGTGAGCCTATACGGCGATTTTTTTGTACTTGCCATGTAATGGGTTATTCATCAAGGGTGCCTACCCTCTCACGTTCTGTCTAATTTCGTGATCGACGGGATAATGGGACGAACGCTGGAAGCCGTGGTGTTCAAATAACTATTGGAGAAAACCTTGTCGATATGGATTATCGGAACTACGTCTTTCGTCTCTTAAGAGGAGACGAGAGGATACCCTGACCAAAGTCATACCGCCTTTTGACTTGCGCTTCAAACCCACAAAGCGTAGGGTTATGCTTATTTACATTCAGCCTGAACATGCCTGAACATCAAGAAAAAGGTCTGGAGTTTGTGAAGCTTTTTGCCTATATCGGTAGTTGTATTACTTATGACTGTGGTGTGACAGATTAGGTCAATGCATGTGGCTCTAATGATCGAGTCGCGTTTGCTAATTGGAAGGAAGGAAGCGTTCAGCTGTAGCACCCTTCCGGTGCCTAGCTCCCATGCCACCCGAAGGAAGTACGAGGGCTGGGATACTGCCAGGTTGCCCAAGCCTAGACAGGGGAAGTCGAATGGCGGAGGTCGGATTCGAACCACGGACCTTCCGGTCGGTAAATTGTGCTCTAACCACTTGGGCCATCTTGCTAATTGGGATACTTATGGCTGTAAAGCCGTACATCCCTGAATCACAATGGATGTGTTTATCAGGCCACAGTACCCGTTGATTTGTTTCGCAGTTGTGGAACGTTTTTCTCGACAAGCAGCGGAACTGAGAAATTTTAAAGTCTTCGGTAACCGTTGTCTCAGCCTCTCGTATCGGGCGGTGTCGGCGAATCCGAAACCAATGAGAAAATGAGTATTCTGTTGTGTAACGGGATCTTCATCAAAAGCTGCAGGGGTTAGGCCGTGTAATGTGCAAGTCGCCTCATGGTTCGCTGAGGATAGTACTGTCTTCCGTACCCAATTCGGAGTGGAGCAATCAGAAATTTGATCGACCTCTGACCTGACAGACTTGTATAAAGGAAATGATGGAAGCTTTGGATGCTTGCTGCAGGATGGAGACCGCATAATCTCCACTGTGTCCGGTTTGGGACGCTGAAAAATTTCTCAATAGACTTCTTGTTATCAGTTGCTATCCAGATTATCCTATTGAGTGTCTGGATATTTAAGCATCTGAGAATAGTTGTGGTAGCCTAGCACTAGTTCCCTCCTAATTCACCTTTATTGTTTTCCTCACAATAAAGCTTTTAAATAAATTGTGGTTGTATGACAGCAAAGGATCAATGTTGGTCACTGATGTTACGTTGTCGATAATGAGATGATGAGTCTGTAGATCCGCGCGTCGGTTATATTGCTTCCCGATACTGACCACATCGTAGGGCGTAGGCAAAATACCATCTTGGAACACGTCGGGCAACACAGCTTCTCTAACTTGAGTTATGGTCCACAGACTCACGATCTTGATAAAGCCACATAGGTTATTAGTTTTGTGACTCCGTGAGGGAATGTTTCAAATTTAGACTCTTGAAACACTTAAAGTACCATGTTGCATACATTTAGTGTTTCAACTCCTTGGTGTTCACAACGGTGCGTTTGTGGCAGATGGTTTACCATCTCATTTAAATTAAGAACTCTGGAAACCTCGTGCATCTCAATCTTTGATAGCGAAACTGTAGTTTAGCGGCAGTTTGATTGGCAATCTAATTCCAGCTAATTCCATGATCATCTGCCTGTTCGAGTGTTCTCCGCGCCCTTTTTATAGTGGCTCAAACTGCGAGGTGGACGAATTGTGACCTGACAAAAGGATGCGAAAGAATTCACGAAGAGTTTATGTGTTGTTCGCGCGATGCACCTTCCAGTTTGAAGTCCACGTGATCACCCTGTGCCTGACTGGAAATATTTCAAGAAATGGCGGCTAATCGATATGAGTGACGTTCGTGCTGTCCGTTTCTTTCCAGATTGTCTGGTAGAGCACTGGAGGTACATGCATTTCATAATGCTTGTGATAGGCCAGCACCAGGTCCCCTCCCTCAGATCCTTCGATCAATCCGACAGGCCTCCTTAAAAATGCCCATTGATGAGCAGACCACAGGTCTTACGGTCCTCATTTATCCTCACTTCGTTCGGCTTGCCTTTTGAGTCACCAGCACATGTTAGGGCCACTTGAAGTCTCAGGTTAAAAGACAGTGAGCCAAAGACGGTTTCTGCTTAATCCCACTAACTCTTTTCTCCGTGGCCCGAATTATGCATACTGTTGTGTCAGGTATTGGTTGTGATGAATGTGTTGTAGGATTGCTGTTTCTGTTCTGTGTAAGCGTCTTTGGTAGCTTGGTCACATAGAGGTTAGTGAACTCACTTGTTACTAAGGATCTTGGCCATAGTATGTCCGATCTAATGTACGATTCCCGAGGTTGCTTAATGGCTTAGAATGACCAGAAATGCATTTCGTTTCTTACAAAATTTGGTGTGCTGCAGGACATCCTATTTACTTCTTTCCTTGTGTTGAAAGCCTCTTCTGTTGGCAATATGTGTGCAGGCAATGTAAGCATTATGTACCTAGTCTTCCCCTTCATATATACAATGCCTTCAGTAGTGGATTCGACTGGTCGGTCTCTCATGCCCTTATTTCTAATGTATCGAGGTGTCTGAACGCTTTGTTTAGCTTAGGTGGCCGTTACCAAACAGTAGAATTTCTTTAAAAGTCACACAAGTCGTGAATATATATTTTTGGCGATCCTGTCAACCCATCATTCCTCGTGGTCTGATTATATTCGATTTGTCCATGATAATTGAGCGATTCTCTCTGCTCCCGTTGAACTCAGTAAACGTGACTCCTCTGTTTGGTTTCATGGGTATAAAAGGAAAGGTTCCATCTTGCTACCCCGCCCCTTCGAAATGTGGTGGACATTATGATTTATTTTCTTCTATCCTTGTTATTTATTACCTCGCGCCTTACGGTGATTCTGATCTCGACCTCTAAAACACGAGAACCACTGTGTGCCACAACACTGTTCTTCCATGTATAACCTGTTTGACTATCGTATTTGTGTTCTGTTCGATATTCACGTAGTCTTTAATTGCAATCGAGTGGTTGGTTCTGTGGCATGTGGTGCATCTTGCTTGCTGGTGCATAATCCAGTTGTTACCTCAAGAATGACTCGCCAGTAGTGGCGGTGGTGAGTTTTAGCCAGCATATCATATCAAACAACCAACAAGATGCGACACAATTGTAGATGTCATATTGCAATGGATGGTGTACCTTATCATCACGATTGACGAGCAGGCAGACCTAACATGTAACAATAAGGTTGCGACACTTAGCAGTACCTACAAAGCCAATCTTAAATGTCGATCCTGTGTTGTAGGTCGAGGTGAGCATTTCAGAAATCACCCTTTTCAGGGAAGATTTAGGGTGGGTAGTTATCCGAACCTGCAAGGTGATGGCTGATGAAAACAGCAGATGGGAATATTTTGGAAGTGCCAGCACATTCAGGTTGATTCAGGGGAACAAGAGAGGAAGGTAGTTCGGGAGGAGGTGTCCAGCTAATGGCTGCGTTCATCGAGGTCCTATTCGTCCAAAGGCTATGACGAGGACTGAAGGAATTACTAAGTGAAGAAGGTGGCTTTTGTGCATAACTGCGTGTGTTACGCGACACAACCTGTCAGAGTCACCAGCGATTGGTTTTTCTCATCTCGGGGTTTCCGTCCGGCATGACGGCAGTTATCAACGGGCTTTGATGTGTAGTTGCCAAATCATGTGCTGACCACCTCTGGATCGTCTCCATCTTATACAAGACTAGGCGGGGAATGCTGTGCGAAGCGAACGGTCCTCGCATACGAAATACGTAACCTGACCAGAGCAACCTGTAAAATGTGACCAGTTGATCGACTGAGGGCTAGTGAACTTTTCCGAAGTGCATCTGACTCACCACAGCATTACACTATTTGACGTTCCAACCTGCGCTTCATATACACCGATGGTCGTACTCCAAGGGTCCTCGAAGGTCTTTCGGACGCGTCTACCACGTCTCCTATCCAATCAGCCAGACTTCCGCAACTGTATGTGTAGACGAACTTGTCCACCACATTCCTTGGTTCACCTGCAGGCATGAGATTTGTGTTTGATACTTCTGTCTTGCAGCAGCACTTTACACTTCACAGCTGAGAAGTCTATACCGAACTGTGCAGCAGAATTATTTACGTTGTTTAAAATGGGTTCCACTTCTAAGGGAGTCTGATCCAAGAAAAGGAATTTTGTCAGCGTCCTCAATATTCGTGAGAGAGAGAGAGAGAGAGTACCCCAGGAATATATCGATCCCAAAGGTGTTAGAAGCAGGTAATGAAGCAGCACATCGATCACGAAATTGAAGAGGAAGTGAGACTGGAGTACCTTTACCAGACACTGAATGTGCGCTCAGGAGAGAATTTACAATAGCCACCCACGCATTCACGCATGGAAGCCTCTAGAGGAGGGACCTAGGAGGAACACCCTTGATCGCCTGACACTACCACAGATTATTACTACCGCAGAATTAAAAGCAGTTTTCGGATATAGGAAAGCAATCTTTGCTGTACGTCGAAAGTGGTTATAACACTTGGTGTAAAGTGAAGACATGATCGATGCAACCCCGGCCAGGGCGAAATACAGCTTGATTCTCGCGAATTTGTCCCGGAGAAATTATAGCCACCAGACCGGTGCCCCAGGTGATTTTCGCACAATGTTTTTGCACGCCCTTTGGATTCTGGAGCCTCCGTCAAGATACTTCATTCTGTCTTCACTACGGATATTTTGGGGTATGGTTGTCAGGTTATTTGGTGATTACAGAATAAAAGTCATCTGAACCAGATACTGTTGCACTGAAGCGATAAAAGAGCATGGTCGATTTCCTCCGTCGGGTTCAGTCCTTGTTCATATGGTCTTTCCGCGGGTTGGGTTGATGCGGCCAACTGGACTGTTCTCCGAAGTATTCGATCCATCGTTCAAGACGACGTCTTTGTGAGTGAATTGAGTTCGTTTGAGATCGTTTCATGACGGCCCACATTCCTCGAACCAGTTGGTCAAACTGGCTGAAATAGTGTGCGATTGTTTCTCGTTTCACAAGCTTTCTCTGTTCCTCTGGTGTCTCATATCCATTGTCTCTGTGTACGGTGTATCCATGCCATAACAAACACAAGGAATAGGAGGGAAGACGTCTAGCATTATCACGGACAAATCGAACGTCCTCAGACTTGGACAAGTAATGTGTCAACATGTGCCCTTATTACTTTACAAATATAGATTTAATGATGGCCTGATTAACAGCTGTGATATTTTAAAAGGCGACGTTGATGAGAGTAGCTGAAGAAAAGACCTAATGAAACCCCTATACACTTTCGTATATATGACGAAATCGGGGGATTGATCGATCAATTCAATCAATAAGTTGATCTTGGACATGGGAAAACGCTGTTAAGCGGAGTGCGCACATGTCCTTCAAATGCTTGGATCCTAATGCAGAGGTTAGTGGTCAAAAGCTCTAACTATAGAGATAAGGAAAAAGAGACAAGATAGCCTATTGAAACTCTGGGTTTTTGGAAGTAGAGATTTTTGACCATAAACAGTCCAGCAGAAGGTTAACCAGATTGTGCTGAGCTATCAAAGCTACGACTGTCGTTCGGCTGAGCACCCTTTCAGTGCCTAACTTCCATGCCACTAGGAGGAAGCACGAGGGCTGGGATGCCGTCGGGTTACTCAGGTCTAGACAGAGGAAGTCGAGATGCAGCGGTCGGATTCGAACCACGGACCTTCAAGTCAGTACTTTCATGCTCTAACCACTGAGCCATCTCGCCTCCTGATCGTCACAGGAATCATTCTCAATAAAGACAGTATAACCCGTCCGTGGCCTTTTCAACCTATGACCAACAGGAATGTTTGCTTCTAGGCTGTTGTCGCAGTGCTACTACAGCATTTGACTACTTGCTGAATGCTGTGTGCTTATTCAAAGGTACGTAACCCGTTTCTAAACAATGGTCTGTCAAATTCTACATATGAGCATGCATCCTTCCTTCACCTTTAACATCTTGACTTTTCCAAATCTCTTGGCTTGTCTTTCATTACGAAGGGAATTTCGAAATCCGAGCTCGCTGTGCAGCATTTTGTAGCATTAGTTAGTTTGTTATGCTTCGTTTATGTATTCCGTTTAGTGTTAAATGTGTTTTTCTCGCTTTTCCAGAAAAGACCGCATTCTCAGAGCCCATAATAAACGCTTGGCTGATGAGTCCGCCTCACAAATTGGCAAACCTCCCTCGCAAGAGGTTACCCAGCTCATCTCTCCCAAAGACATCCTCCATTTTCCGGCTGCAGTGTGGCTGATTTGTGTCATTTGTGTGGCATACTATGTGGCAATCTTCCCGTTTGTCAGTCTTGGTCAAGTGTTTTTCGAACGTAAGTAGAAGTCTTCCCATTGACACGTGTATTACCATTGAGGTAGCTGATGTGTTGATACGCTACCGTGCCAGCTGTCATTCGGCACAGTTAAGTCACCCATTACTAGCTTCCGACCGGTGCCTCTGAATAATGTGTGTTCTAATTTTCAGACTAGTTGGCTCATGTCAACTTTTATCTTAATAATAAAAATAATAATCGTTTGCCTGTAACACTCTTCCGTTGCCTAGGTTAAATAGATGACCTCAACTCGTTTTCTATCCTCCTCCTACCAATGGGTACGTAGAGGAAAGAATGTCGATAGATAGCTTAAGTTGTTCAACTGAGCGATTTCGTCTAATAAGTGCTTTGGTAGATCGAAACTACTGAGTGAGAATATGTTAACCTGCCTATTTCAGCTCAACTGTCAGTTGGGCTGTTGGGCTGTCAGTTGGGTGTTGATGGAATGGTTTGAATTCGCTCCTTTAGTTCATCTATGGCATGCCTGCTAAACATGGTGTTGGCAAATTACTCTTCCAGTCCCAGCTCCCCTTGAATCAGCGTACACCACATGGATCAAGGCCCCAGCCACATTCAGTCTAATCTACCCTACTGCCTTCCGGCTATTGATTGTGTGCATGGGCTCATGAACGGGACCAGTAGTCTGTACTGCCAATGCTCAATAGTGCGATTTCAGTAATATTTTGGGAGAGGACGCCTACACAAATCATTTGCCTTTTGTACTTTCATGCTATAGGAAACCACTTGTGTGACACAAAATTATCATAACCGTCATAGTAATTCTCTACCTTTTTGTTCTGGAGTAAGTTCATCTTTTACCATTCAATGATAATCAGCCAGGGGTTTTCCCTTTAATTTTTCAGGCAAATTTCATCTGTCCCTAACCCAGGCGAACGTGGTCAACAGTCTCGTTTACATACTTTCTGCCGTGGCCAGTCCAGTGTTTGGCGCTACAATAGACTTTACTGGTCGTAACCTAAACTGGGTGCTGTCGAGTATTCTACTGACCTTATTCTGCCATTTGTGCTTCGCTTTCACGAGCGGTGTACTGCCACCTATGTTTATTATGATCTTGATGGGTATGGGGTATTCCATATTGGCCAGCAGTCTATGGCCTTTGGTTGCTTTTCTGCTACCGCCGCATCAACGAGGCACAGCTTACGGTCTGATTCAGTCCCTGCAGAATCTCGGTCTGGGTGTAATAGCCATATTCGCGGGCTACCTGGTGGACAACAAGGTGAGATATTTTGGAGTCAAGTTGTTGTAACAGTTCCGTAAGTTGTTTATGTTGTAGTAATTCGACATTGGTGAGACGCTAGGTTTTTTATGTTTTAGCATTTGGTGGATCATTTTCTACTAGCCATACTGAGAACAAACATCTTGGTAGCGGTAAAGCAGGTTCAAGAGATCGTTTATCGCTCTACTGCATCCAAATCAGTACTGATTAGGCGAAATTATTCCTACCGTAAAGCGTGTTCAGCTGAAGCAAGTTGTACCTGTGTATGATCAATTGATGTAATTGTCAAACAGAATAGAGGCAACACAGGCTTATAGATAGATATCTACTCGAGAGATGTCATGCACTCATAGATTTACTGGTCAATCCTCGCATACAAATCCTTCTTTTACTTTGTGGTTGTATGCACATTGTGCTGCTGACCGTGTCTCATGGACAGCAGCTGTTCGGCATGTTATTCAAGTCAGTTTCTCTCTCTAGCAGGAAATTGCTGTGGACTAACTAAATGGAACATCGCAACTGGAACAGCTAGATTTGTTTATGTTCACCCGGTTGTTTTTTTTTTGAAATTCATTCTCATAATTTTCGTGTGTTCTCTTGGATGTTGCGAACAGTGCCAAAGTTTTGAATGCTTCTTCTACAAAATGACGTGAGCTTGTGTCGTTCGTGTGGATGAACTAGTGTGAACTGCCGATGTGCGTATGCATTTTGTAAATCTCTACAGTGAATGGCGTGATTTATAACTCATTGTGATGTCATCTCAAGCGACCGACTTGTAGAAAGTGCATGCACCTTAATGTCTTTCAAGAAGTTCGCCTTTTTCCCTGACACGATGGTTCCGTTTGCTGCATACAAAGTAAGATGGTTCAGTGGCTATGGCATGAATTTACTGACGGGAAGGTATGTGGTTCGAAGTCGACCGCTGCATCTCGACTTCTCCTGTCTGGGATTGGTAGTATCCCAGCCCTCGTGCTGCCCTTGGGTGGCATCATCATCATCATCGACAGCATGACATCAGTGTTCAACACCGATGCTTCACTGCCGTAATCGGGTGGCATGTCACTTAGTCACTAAAAATGTGCCGCAGCTGAACGATACGAGAGCAAAATAAGCTTGACTCGAGTTCCGCTCTAATTGGGGTTCGTCACTTTTGTGTATCTCTAGCCATGCCAGTATTCGAAATTCTGATACACGACGAGGGACGCGCGCGTGTTGTAAGCACTTGAATGATCACGTTCGAAGAGGCGAACATATGCTGGTATTTGCGGATTGACTTTTCGATGAATCAGACAATGTAGCTCGCTAGTATTACATTGAGTTGGACGAATAGCTCGCAGACCTCGATGCTTGCGGTGAAGATTTGGATGTCGGTTGGAGATAGGCGAAAGAAGCCATGTTTGTATCTTTGAAACCATCTCCCTGGGGTCCCTTTCACACTCCAATGGACATTGGATTTCGTCACGATCAGTAGCTATGTTTGGAACTTGGAAAACTATACCAAGTGTATGGGTCCTTGAAACACCATATAAAAGTTATCCCGGGGAATGACAGCGCTGGTGTGTAGCGAAAGCCCGGGAATCGGAAAAGTCTTTTGCAACGGGGAACTATCCTACCCTGTTCCACCTGATCTGATCAATTGGTCCAAGGAAACTGGGTGTTAGTGAAACCATCACTGAAAAACAGTTCAGCTGGATATCATCAACTCAACCTCATAAAGGACACAATCAACCCCGATGGAAAGTCAGTATCAGTCCGCCATAGACAGCAAACTCCAGCGTGCGATCTCAGTGCTTCAGTGCAACAAAGCACTTGATTCAGATGGTCTGTACGTCGCACTCTTCAAAGTAGACCGCAAGCCCTTTGTGGATGTCCTGGCGAATTTACTCTAAAGTATCTGGAGTGAAGGAAAAACACCGACAGGATGAAGTGCGTCGACGTTGATTCCTGTTTTCAAAAAGGGAGCAAAACCACAGGGACATCATTCTATTGACCATAGCTTCCAAGGTGCTGCCTGATTTGATGCTCCATGGGGGAACCAGATTTGTAGTTTCTCCCCGGCCGGATATGCATCGATCATATCTTCACTTTGCGATTTGCTGCTTGAGTCTTTGCTGCCTGCATCTGCCACCTTTTGGATTGAAATATTCCCCGGAGTATTCTCCCACGTACATTGAGGAATTGATGACATTCTTTTTGGATAAGGCCCCTTAGGGTGCAAACCATTTTAAACAGTATGAATAAGTCTGTTGCACAGTTCGGTATGCACTTTGCAGCTGTGAAGTGCAAGGTGCTGCCGCAGGATGGAGGTTTCAGAAATTAATCTCCGTGTGGTGGATACGTTCAATTTCTTTGGGGGCTGCATACGTCTAGGGGGTGGTGAGACGAAATGATTCCTCGAATTGGGAAGGCCGGGGCAATGTTTGCTAACCACCGACGTTTGTGGCGCCGACCTGACATTAGGCTGACTTTAAAGGGCATAATGTCCAATCTGTCCTACTTTGTGGATCAGAGACTTAGCCGGTGCGTGCGGAAGATCTTTGGGGACTCTGTGTTTGACCATGGGTGCCTGCGAAGCGTTGCGCGGGTCCTTACTGGTGAGGTAAGCCACGATTTCCTGGAGAGTTCACTCTACATTGACAAATCAGCTGATCAAAATCCACAGGTTGTGCCGTTTGGGTCACATATTTTTTGTGACAGTGCACCGTTTACTTCGTAAAGTACTCCTCTCCGCGCCTTGTGTCGGATGGAGACGATTCAGAGCCGGTTAGTTCATGACTTGGCAATGAAACATGAAGGGCCTTACTAGTCAACTGAGGCGCGCTGATAACTGCAGTCTCCCCGGATGGGGACTGCTGGACAAGATATTCCAATGGTCGGTGACTGTACCACGCAACCATTTGCGGTCTTGTATCAAAGCCTTCGCTGCTAGATCTCACTTCTTGCTACCATAGTCAGATTGAGACATTTGTCATCAGTGGATAATTTGGTCTATTGCCTCAAACGCGTGCCTCTAATTCTCTTTTTTTTCCCTATGCTCGATGAACGGAGTTGCTAGCTGGAACCACTGCATTTTCGGTACACTACTCCTGAGCTGGGAACAATGATGATGTTATCTGAGCGGATATTCGAACATATAATGTATTCGCAGGTCCAAGGTTTCAGGCAACAATCGACAGCTGTATCTTAGAATATCTTGGCGGTACAGGACAGCGATGTAGTGTTGACTGTGACGTGTTATTGTTGGTCCAGAATTCGGTTCTGCAGCAGAAGCAGTTCTCTTTCGAAACGAATCAGTCCGTACAGGAACGCGTTGTTTGATCATTCGTGTTGACTTGGCCAAGACAAGCATAACACGTACAGGCGATTGATGGACTATTGTTTTGCGCCGGCGAACAACACGCCCAAAGTTCGACTGGTTTGTCTCTGAATCACACTCTAGCCACTGCTGTTGGGAGGGCTGTACTATGCACTCAATTTCGATCCAGATTAAGCGTTTTTCATTCCACAGTTTATCTAAAGCGTACTTCGCACTTTGGCTTGTCCACATTTCTTTTTATGTGAGGGTCAGACGCTGAAATGTCGAATAGAATTCGTCGCTCGAATGACTTCACAGCCCACCTGTAGGAATATTCCAGCTACTTATCGGACCACCGAGTCAAGTTTCCTGGAATAAACGGCACCCAGGTCTTCGGATAAATTTTACGTAAATCTGACACCCAAACGGCCCAACTTTTAATCCCCATCGCCTTACACAGGACGACGGTGCCCTCGGGAAGGCCGGCTACCAGCCTGAGTCTGCGTCGGTTTTCGCATCTCAGAAACATGTCTAGTCATACTGGAGGATACTCATTCAGTGTCAGTGGATGCAGATTCATCGAACACAGTCCCTGCAACTCAAAATTTGGAGAAAGTGTGATAGTTTACTTCTTAAAAGGCGTATTACTGTGGTATTTGTACATCGACAGAAACACTAACTTACAAAACAACCGAAACCGCTTCATCAAACAGTGGCCTTCACATGCAAGCCAACCTGCTCATTAGCCGTGAGATGAATTACTGACCACCGCTTGTTCTGCAACATTCACGTAAATTTTGATCACGCGCTCACTTGTTGCTGCTTCTGTTTGAATCTTTCATGGATGCGCCTGGTAATTGAGATGTTCTCGGACCTGTAAACGTACAAAAACACCTAACAGAGTCCATTTTGGACAATTCACCATCTACCGTTGACTCCTACTGGAAAGTACTGTCCTCAATCCTGCACGATATTGGGCTTCTTGTGTGTGGAATAGCGCTATCCACTAGATCTAGGTACTGTATCTTGGACAGAACTATAAACCTGTTTGAAACTTGGACAGATTCGTTTTGGTGAAGAATATGATGCAAGTAAACGAACTGAGGCTATAGATGAAAAGTGCCTCTGTGCGAATCAAGGTTTTCGATGGGTGCAGAAAGCTGAAGAAATGGACAAAGCGAGGGACTTTAAAATGCCTGAAAATTCTTTCAGCGCATTAGCATATTAAGCCTAAAGAAGCATGTAGTCAGAAAAATAGTCAATGAATAAAACGATTCGTTGATCTGCAAAAAAAGAACGCCTGATTTGTGGGGCTGAATGTTTTCAACATCGAATCGGCTCGCCAAATGCATTTAGTCGGTCGGATTCCCCACTCACAACTGAGACCTGGACAGTGAACTTGGGACCGTTACGAAACATCTGCCTGTTGTTGTTCGCCTTCTATGATGGTGGTCACGTGACGCTCCATGTGCTCTGCTGGAGACCATATTTGTTATGGTAACCAATCAATTTTAGTGTCGCTCCGTCAGTTTCTGTCCAAACTATCTGACTGGGTGTTGAAGGTCTAGACACTTCGGACACTTGTTGTAGGTTGGTTCTAGCCCTCCTTCGTGTCTTTTCTCTTTTCATTGTAAAGCTTTATTTAAACAAATCGACATGTAGATACGGCGACGGAGCACGAGCTTCCTCCCCTGTTATTGCTTTCAATGGTTCCTCGTAAGGGAGAGAGATGTTCCTGTCCCTTAACTCTCATCTTGTTTCTTTTACTAATACTACTTCTGTAGTTCCTAGACCTAATTGTCTCATTCAGACACTCAGGGAAGCGACTCGTTCCACAGTATTTTTCTCACCTGTCATGTCACTCCCAATGACCAGACATTGTCCTCCTGACCCTCGAGCACATGGGCTTCACTGGTGAAAATGTCTGGGTACTTGTAGCAGACGAAGGCAGGGGACCAGGATACGTCCCCATGAAGAAATTTGGGCTCTGAACAATGCCATCACCACATTTGGGGACTCATGTAGGTTAGGACTAAGTTTGACGAGGAAACTGGCGATAGAAATGGGATCGGCCTCATGGCTTATAGGACATTAAAATAATCTGGAATGCAGAATTCCGCAATATGTTGGACCGAGCGTTGTAATCCTAGTTTACGTTCCACGCAGAGGATGGAGTGGAAGTGTCGCTGCAGTTCGATGCTTAAGGAGAAGGACAACGGACTCAAGTGAATTTGAGTAAATTTGGAAATCGGATGTGCAGGCATTAAGGGTGGGGGTATGTGAAAGACAAGGGGTGGTAGATGTAGGCACAAGTTTCGCCATCAAACCGAAAACAATAGAACAGCAAACAGTTCGGAAGCTGGAAATGAGTGAGGTCACAAGATTTGAAGATTGGGGTATCCATGGAGCACAATACAGAATTTTTGCAGAATAATAATATCCTTTGAATCGGGTTACTTTTACATTTTGGAGTACCAAAGTTGCGTTGAAAATTTGAGATGTGGCGGTGCAGACCGAAACGGCGAATTTTCGTTGTTCGTATTATACTTGTGTGCGTGTTGCGTGATAGGCCGGTATCCTATCTCCTGGGTCTGGAGAGGTGGATCATGCAGATCTCTTAGTAGCTGACCTGCCTTCCACGTCAACACGAGTCATGCAACCAATGTTCAGACCTTTACTTGTAGGGTATACTTTTCATGGTTTCCGAATCCGTCCACATAACCCAACCCTAAAATCATTGGACCTGCGGCGCACGAAAATCCAATGAACACAGTGGAAACACGATTCTACAGTTCTGGGGAAGAATGCAACTCTTATTTCATAAATACTATGAGCCGTCGTTTTAGGATCACGCTAGTAGAGCTGGAAGAAATATGAATGTGTTTCAGGTTGTCATGATCATTGTAAGCTCACTCAAAGGCTGTCACGTTTAAGTAGTAGTCGACTCGAATTGTGCAATTTTCTCATGGGATTGCAACTGCGCTCCTGAAAGCTCAAATCTGACAACCAAACGAAACGGTAGAAGCCGAACAAATAGTATGTTATCACAAGTAACATTATTTCGAGGAAATCTGGGGGATGGGAATTCATGTTGTCCATTATGATTTGTTTTGTCCAGGCGATGCTTCTTTTCCCTGAGGAACGACGAACTGGACATAATCTATCCTAAAAAAACATACACTTTGATTATCTAGCGGTTGACCGTAACTACCGGTGACAGCGCGAAGAACAAATAATGCCCAGGGCTAAATGCAACTCCCAACGAATCTGTGGTGCCGACAGGATCAACAGTCAAACTCCGGTGCCTTATTTCTATCCTGCTCTCGGGCCATATCAGCGATACTTACAGTCTTCCTGGATTGGGTGAATTTCGTGGAACCAAGTTTCAGCCTGTGATATCATTGTACCGCTGCAACCCGATCACTCTGTCGGCATGGCAGCTCTTGGTGGGGATGGGTACATCCACCGGCATGCACCCCTGGGCATTCATTGCTGAGCCAGTACAGTCATATGTTGAGAGTTTGAGTGGGAAGTAGTTTTTCCTTGGGCAAACATGGTAGCTTGATACCTTCCCATATTAAAGTGGCACCACTTAAGGTACCTGGTTTGTTATTTCACGCTTTTTCTACTCTCTTCACTGATTTGGACTGTGCCTACTTATTACGTCGTGTGGTTCGCATGCTAACGTTGTGAATGTCTGTTGCCGTCCTTTTCCCCATCTAGCTTTCTCTACAAAACGTGATCCACATAATGTGGAATTTCAAATAATTTTCTAGCAGTCATCAGCTGTCGATTCGTAACTCAATTCCTCCTGTATATTCAGTTTGGAGGGAATCCACTGATCATGTGAGAAGAGGTTGTTATTCTCACTAAACATTGTCGGTTTAGTAAAGGCCTGACCGGTGGGTCAGCTTGATATTACTCGTCACGCATTTGGTGCAAAGTAAGTTTGGGATCTGCTGATCGTTCCAGATGTGACCACCCACAAGTACACCACAGTTTTATGTGGACTATGCTTAATAACACATTCTTAATCGTTTCTCGTATAAATGTTTTGCCCATATGTTCCTGACCATATTTACCTTGTGTCCGCTCACTCATTACCCTTGTTTCCACTTTCCTCGCAGGGCTACTTATTTTTGGAAGTGTTTTTCACTTTCTGCCTTAGCCTGGCACTAGCCGTCACATTCGGTCTATACTTGTGGGACCAGAAACATGGATGCCTGTTGAATGAGTCTGGTGCCAGCCGACGCAGAAACGAAGTCAGAGAAGTAGACCTATCCCCCGAGGAAGAAGGTGCACTGAACGACGAGGCAAATCGACTGTAGCCTCACCTGTTTTATCTTCTAGTCCAAACGTTTTTGCTTGCTCAAACTGGAATACTTATGCCTTTGCTTTCCGATGTGTATCAGCTGGATTTCACACTTTCCAATTCTTTGCCTTCGGTCGTTGTATTTTCTATCAGGAATTTTTTTATCAGTTACTTGAGTAAGTCAACATCTGGTTTTCTGCCGCCTTCCGGAATTGCCAATTTCCGGCACTTCAGGAATTAAACAGACTGATTTCTGTGAAATCGTGTGTTCGAGTTTTGATTGTATGGCACATCGAAGATCTTTTTAGCATGTGTGGTAAATTTGTCGACTAGTTCTCATCTTGTTTCATATAAACCTGTTTTTGGCTTCCGCCACATTTAGCATAATCCCTTCAGTGAACTCCAGAGAGTCTGACTTACTTCGCTCAGGACCAGTGGAACGGAACCGTTTTCAAGTTGGGGATACTCATTTTTGTGTGGTTTGTCAAGTACGAACGGTAGAATTCAGTGCCCCATCGTTATCTAACCTGATAATTCATGTTCTCGGGTTTTTTTTTCCCAGTCAGCATCGTAATGTATCAACGTCGGGTCAGGAAAACTTCTTGTGGGATGAACTACAATGCAGCTTCTAGAGGACAAACAATTTGCCTAACAATCCGGTATGTAGGAAAAAACTTTCGGTACGGTTGGATCTTGAGGAACTGGTCTTTTTGCGCATAGCACGAGTTTTCTTGGAGGTCATTACCACTAGTTCTTTTCCCAGTTTTAAACCGCTTTCAAATGAAGTCAAGTCAAGGAAGGCACTCGAAGGCCAACTTTCAGGGCGGTGACTACGATTTTTCAGGTTATGTTTACCGACGCTAAAGTGATAGGGTCGGACAGTCACATTTGCTTCAGGCTGTATACTGTTTCATGACCGAAGGACTGAAGGTGCGATAACCTACTTGTTTCTAGAATAACAGTAGTCAAACTGCAGATGCATCATCCGCATTACGAGTCAAAAGGTTCTGTCTACGTACCTCGTTGCTGACTCCTGTTCGAATGTTTCGAAATACTGAAGATGTTCATTCTCCAACATACCATGTGCCTATCAGTCGCTCCTGCCGCACGCGCCTTTCCCAATGATAGGCACTTTTTGTCTATTTTCCCCTTATGGTCTTAAATTGAATCGTGTCTCATTAGGTCACTATGGAAAGCATCCAAAATCGTGCAAAATATACGTCTTCGACCTTTCAACGGACTACATTCCACATGAGCAACTATGCTTACATCTTGGTCATGTGTTTTCCATCCTCTGGTTTACCTTTCGAAGCTCAAACAATCGTCTTCTCAAGATGCTGTTAAATATGAAGCAAAAATACTGACAATTGCACATTGCGGGAGATAAGTGTGTGATAGATTTTTATTGTGTAATTACTTGCCTTCATTATCTTTCATTTCATTCCAACTGTAGTTCTACCTTTATCTTGGTTCACATACTGACTAAGTACTCAGGTTTCCCTCTCAGCTAATCCAGTTGGACGAGACCTTTTCTCCATAAACTGAGCTTCGATCCTCATAACGGCATACCTCGAACGTTACCAGTCCAAAACTTGGTGAGGATGTTTCCAGACCATGCGTGTCATTAATGATGTTTATTTAAAATACAATTTTTCCTAACAAACTCCCCTCAAGTGAAGTTATTTCCCCACTCAAGACCATTATACCTCATTGTGAGTTCCGAATTGTAACTGATGTCTTTTGAAGTGTCATCCCCAAACCCCCAAAGAAAGCCACTCTAGGTGTCTCTAAGGCGCGATTTCTCCCCCCAGCAGAATTCTTGTTTTGGATTTCGTTGCTTGAAGTCAGTAACCTCAAGTTTGCTTACAAAATATTTGATGTTTCCCAACGTGACTTTCGGTTCTCCACAGTAATGGGACGTTGTGCAGAGGTCTTTTCAAAGCCAAACTCAGACAAACAAACAGGAGTGCTTCCGGGTACACTAGAACATAAGTGTGTTTGGCCAACAGCACGAGTGTGTTATTTGTGAACAGATCGTTTGCACACTCTAGAAATACTACCCTCAGATCTATTGCATTAAGCGAAGATGAGTGTGAACAGTGTCTTGCAATGCAGTAACGTCTCTTGTACATGTGAGCATGACAGCTAAATTCTACGTTTTGATAAACAAAGCTAGCCTACAGCCCATAGCAGATATCCACGGTAGCAAACATGCAGTAGTCCCAGAAAAATCACTGCCTCCCCCACTTATACTGGGACCACTTTTTTCCGGTGTTGGTTAGCCATCTTTTCACTCCTGGCAATGCCCACTCTCGGTGTCCACATGGCGCCATGTACCATTCCAACAGAGCAAGACGAGAAATTGATACACTGGGCTTTTGAGCATTATTACGCCCAGTGGCAATCAGATCAACGTGATTTATTGATTACCACGTAGGCGTTTCAACGTCATCGTCGAAACGGCCGCTCCTAATGCCGTCAGGAACGCCAGGTAAAAGCACCGGTGCTGCTTTTTACGACCTCGCTTCTCTCCGACCAATACCAACTAAATGAGGTGGGGAAACTCGTATTTTGGCATCTCAGTAAGACACTTTTGCACTCTCCTTTGTTGTGTTATGTTGGTAGATGAGTATGTGAATTACTGCATGAAAACCACGTCTTTGATTAAAGGTCTTGCGACGTTTTTATGTGGTGCATAAGTACTACAGTTTCTCCCTTCACAAAGTGTGCTTTTCAGCTAAGGTTACCTGTAGTTAATCCCTTGTGAGTTTTTCGAAGGGGCGCCTAAGAAATAGCAAGTGTCGTATGAGACAAAGATATCTTCCTTCAGGCTACCCTTAGAGTGGGAATGACAGGCATATTCTCTCGACCCCTTGGAAAGTTCGGTAAGAGATATATTTTTTAAAGGAGCGTCTCTTTAAAAGTTTTGCATTTGTCTTCTTTTGGAGAACCGCTTCAAAGGAATGGCCGAAAGTGAGTGTGTTCACCATAAACCGAAGGAATTATTATTCAACGGAAGTTATTCTCCGGAAATGAGCGGTTGGAACAACAACCGTGGATTCGTTCTCCGGAAATCGCTGTGACACGAAAACTTAAACCCGACTCTCACTTGATGGTGCCACAGCAGGTACATGTCTGCTGTCGAAAATTTCTAATTTGTGGAACTAACGGCTGTAGGCAGCTCCGAGATTAGAGTTGTCTCTCACTAAGCAACGTTGGCAACAAAGTGAGGGTGCAAGGGAGTCGCGCAAAAGTTCAGGCCCAAATGAATTTCTTTGATGCGATCCCAGTGGACATTAGTGAGGTTGCGCGCACCAAGCGAAGTTTAGGTTTGCATCGCAGCACAGTTCAACATTACTTACATGGCTGTTAAAAAATTTTTGACAGCCTTTTACCGGTTTCGTCCTTTACTCATCAGGCTGACGTGGTCCCTGAGTTTGTCAACCTTGTGTTCTACGTGAACACCAAGTTGTAAGCCAGTGAATGTTAGCAGGGGACTCAAATTTATCCCAGATGAAGCTCTCATTTATGACATCGCCATGTTTTCAGCAATCCTATTTATGTGGTGTTGTGTTTAGGAAATAAGCATCGATATTCTGAATATCATACCAGCTGGAAGATAAGGAGACCATTTTGTCGCGCATATTCAGTCGAAGACTGTCGTAAACCTGATTCGGCTATCGTTGCCTTGTTGACGGTGTCGGTGGTTGGTAAATAGGGTCCCTATAAAATTGCTTGTTGCGTTCCGGATATCACAAAGGACGGTGAAGATGTTAATGCACTGGTTTCGGTGTATCCATGTATTGTCGAAATTTGTGGTTCGTACTCCATCGTTTGTTGGTACGGTCCATGGAAGGTGTTCTCTCACTAAGGTCAGTTGAGCGGTTTTCCTCCATAGTTTTCAATAACGATTTACAAGAATGTGTTTCTTAGGGTGTATATCCCAATTTCAGTTTCTCGCTAAAACCGAGCCTACTTTTTGAAAATGCCCAAGCTTGATAATTGGTTGCAAGATCTGCATGGATTGTGGACCAATGTGGTTTCTAGCGACAGACTCTGGCTGCACTAGGGAGCAAGAATCTTCATTCGAGTCTTTTCGAGGATCTTCACCAAACGGTTGGCTGAATTGGGGAGAATTTACTTGAGAATTTTCGGCAACGCTGTTCGGGCAGACCGAGCCGTTGACCGTTTCATGTTAGCAGTGTGTCACAATGAGTGACTCCATAGATTTGTTTCAATAGTTTTTTTTGTTTTCCCACCTATGCTCGAGTATGGAATCATTGTTCTTATTATTAGTCTTTACACTTATATGGAGCTAGACTTTGACTTCAAACGAACTTTACTCACCTGAAATCCTAGATGTTTCAACACAGTTAATCTCGTGTCAAAATATTGTGCCTGTGTCCTGAGTTGACTTATCGTCGCGCCGAGGTTGTCCGACAGTGGTAGTCCACACATACATACGTCTGATTGGATGTACTTGCAATTAACATAGGTAAAAATGTAACCGGTATGAAGCACTTTTTATCTGTCCTTTCTGCCTATCAAACTGCTATCGCTGTATCGATTTGGCCCGTTTACACTCGCTTGTCAAGCATCGGCAATGCGTTTTGCGGTTCGGATACGAACAATGATTATTAAGGCGGTTGGATAACACGAATTCTTTTTAGTCAGTTTTTCAGTACACCTCGATTCACAGGTTTAACTGACTGTTTTTCGGAGTTTTACTTTGACCCCATATGCCACGAACTTATCAGAAATGTACTCGTGTTTTTTATACTTTTGGAACGCGATCCTACACCTGTCAACGCCTCTCTGCAGACCCTACTGAGTGAACTTTGTCTGTATCGGAACGGACAACTGACTGAGAGGTGTTTTTTTTGGAATCAAACTTGTTCCGAACATCGTTTTTGAATTCAGTCATAGGTGTTATAAAAATGAAACAGATGTGTGTATTTGGTCGTAGTCAGTTACAATTCAAACACTTATCCGTTACTATGAATGTTCTAGCCACACTGTTCATCAAATGTAAACGAAGCTGGATTGACTGTTGGTCCGGGAATTTGAAGCCGCCATACAACTACATTTCACATGGTCACTTCGCCTGCTGCTTACCACGGTAGACTACGATCCGTAGTGCACACAAATACGGACTCAGTACATCTTTCGATCGATTCAATCCCTGCTACTGTTCGTGGTCTCATCGTGTTTTTTTCATAGCAGTCACACCAATGTGATGTCTGGTATCATAATCATCCTCCTTGATCCCCCGGAGACTTAATTTATTATGTTTGGGGATGGCGAATCTATCACTAGTTCTACCGTCGAACTGCATTAATGAGCCCCTGGCTAACTATTGTCACATTCAATACCATTCCCAGGTATTTTCATCACAACCGGTGAACGTCGTGAGCCAATCGATTGGATGCCATTTTCCTCCGTATCCAGAAACCGACTTGATAGTTAATCGCCCCCGAGAAGTCGTTCGCCTGTAGAGCATACGAATCCCATCGCTACGATGCAAGATCTCATCTATCTAGAAGTAACACATTAATCATAAGTTTGCTGAAAACTCTTCGGCAAGCGATGACCGCCTTCACCCTTTGTGAAGCTCAACGAGTAGCCTCAGTTCCTAAGCTTCC